TGGGATGGCAGAGGAACACATCTGCACACCACTCAGCTGGGCTCACTGCAAAAAACCCAAAGAAGATGATCCAGGTGTCTCCCCTGTGTGGGCCTGTAACCCTTTTCCTCTGTTATATGCAGGTACAGTAAAATGACAACAACCATCAGTGACAATTTCAAAAGAAGAAACTCTTTGAGAAATCAGTGAACACAGCTGGGTTCCAAAGTTCCTTCCCTCCTGAAAGGTTCAGGAAAATAGAAGAGGTGTGTTGCCTTGACTTTGCAAAACCAAAGCTGTTCATGCAAGGCATGAACAATGAGGAAGAAGTTCTTCCCCATGAGAGTGGTGAGACCCTGGGATGGGTTGCCCAGGGAGGTGGTTGAGGCCCCATCCCTGGGGGTCTTTAAGGCCAGGCTGGAGGAGGCTCTGGGCAGCCTGATCTAGTGGGAGGGGTCCCTGCTCATGGCAGAGGGGTTGGAACTGGGGGATCCTTGTGGTCCCTTCCAGCCCTGACAGATTCTGATCTGTTTTAGCAGAGGACTTTAGAGCCCTAATGGCTCCATGGTTGGACTTGATGATCTTGGAGGTCCCTTCCAACCTAAAGGATTCTATGATTCTATGAACATGCAAGGTTCAAGGAACAACTTGAGTCTGTCCCAGCCTTTGAACAGATCTAAAATCACAACAATATCCCACAGAAATAAAAAAATACTAAGAGAAAACAACAAGCCCAGGCAGTATTGGCAACATTACGCTGTTCTGTTTTGAAACCCTTTACAGTCACCACCATTCACCTAGAACAACTCCTAATCTGATGTGCCAAGTCTATCTGCCACATTCTGCAACAGCCAACGACTGGGGAGCCAGCCAATGTTCTCTCAGCACCCACCAGGACCAAAAATCTGCTTGAGCTGGAGACACACCGTTGCACATTGAAATCTCAGTCTGGAGCTACATTTTTTTTCCCACTGCAGTCCTGTAGCTCCAGACAGGCTGGGATGAATCTCTTGCCAATTAAAACTTCAAAAGCTTCACACCTAGTAACCATACGTTCCTCCAGAGAGGCACCACCAAGGGAATATTATTCTTCTTTAATTATTAAAGTCATCCTGCTTCTGGCCTCGTGCCTCACACTTAAAAGACAGATGCCTCTAGAACTCAGCCTGAAGCAGACTGTCACCTGGAATCGATGAATTCTTGCTCAAGTGCACACAAATCATGAATGATGAGGAAGAGGCTGATTTGGTTCAGTCAGTGAACATTAAGGTCATTGTATTCAGCTGACTTATTTTGCTGCACCACTGGGGAGCCTGTGTGCAGGATTTCTTACACCCTGGCTCTCAGGATGCCATCCCTCAGCTGTCTGCAGGTGTAATTTGTGCACTGAGCTACATGAAGTCTGGTTGCAAATGGCTGGGTTTTAAAGTGCTGGGAAAGGTCTAGGGAATATGACAGGCAGACATAAAGCTAAGAAGGTAGCTTCTATTTTTGCTAGTACTGCCAAGATCCAGCCACGTCCTTCATTGTGAAGTTGGTTTCAAACAGCAATCTTCCTCTCCTCCTGGTTCACCACTTCTGCACAGGACCCTTATTTCAATCATCTAATTTCCTCCCCTGGTCAGAATATCAGTTTTGGGGGAAGTTTTGAGATCTGAGGAGGTGACTCCAAATGCTCAGGAGGTCTGGGACACTGGTTGGGAGATCTCAGGGGTAGCCCCAGAATGTTCCAGGCAGAAAGCTCGGGACAGGTTTAAACCATTAATTTTAAGCCACTCATCAGTGTTAACCTGAAATGCACACACAGTGGTTTGTAAAAAGCAGTTTTCTAAGACTGGTAAGAAAGAAAGACCCCGTGTGTGTACAGGGTGTGCCCTGTGGGCTGACATGACCTTCCAGATGTCTGTGAAGCACGTCACGAAGCAGACTGCTGCTGTGGCCTGGGAATGTGAAACCTGCTGGAGCTTGGCAGTGGTTCTGCAGGCTGCCCAGAAGTCCTTAAATCCTACCAACAGGCTCTCACAGATGGTATGGCAGAGGGGAAAGCAGGGATTCTGAAATGCTGAGAGAAAAAGTAGGCCATGGAGCTGCTGATCATGATACAGTTGCTTGGATAGCAGAACTCTACATCTAACATATGCTGCAGCTCAATATTCCCCAGCAAGTCAGAGGCCAAATTACTGTGAAATCTGCCAAATGCTCAGTGGTGCATTTCCCACGACTGACAGGGGAGACAGCTCTGAGAAGAGCAGGGTGAGGACACCTCCTCTGTGGTGCTGCAGATTCACACAGTATTGCATCTAGGGCAGAGAGGTGAACATACTACAAATACACACTATGTTACACATGGGAAGGGATCCCAGCTGCCCTGAACCAGCCTAGCTCACCCTGCCTTCATCTCCTGTCCCTCTGGACTGTAACTGCATCCTCTGTGTTTGTCCAGGGAGTTAAAGAAAAGGAACAAACTGAGGCAGACCCTCTTGGAGGTGCCTCTTTCCAACAGGTAAAGCCATGTAACAGCCTACGAGCACTGCAGTAGTGTCTTCTGGGCTTAAAACCAAATTGCACTAATTGCACAGCACAAGCCTTCACTGTCTGTAGTTTATACAGATTTCTTTACTGTGACAGTATCTATTCTTTGTGTCTATGTGTTTTGCACCACCTAAACTCTCCTCTCTGAGTGACAGCCAAGCGTTGGACCATTTCTCAGCATGTCTCCAGCACTCAGGGTACCCCTGAACTGCCCCCACGAGGGCTAAGAGCCAACCAGAGGGAGCAGAGCAGAGCAGGCACAGCTCTTGTGCTCAGGAGGGAGGCTGGTCTAAGTGTACAGGCTGCTCCTCCCTCTTGGAACCCATGGACTCACATCCTTCCCCTCCAGCCCCTTCTCACAGCTCACTGACCTCAGCTGTGAAGTCCAACACTCTCATTCAGCTGAAAATTACACCATTTGGCATGCTAGTATTTCTGGTGCAAGGTTATATACACATTTTTTTTGTGAAGTCCACTGCTAAATGGACAAACCCCAAAGCTTCACTCCACATCAGCTGTCACAGTCAGCTCCTCAGACTCTGAGGGTCTGCCAGGCACAGTGAGGGTGCTCCAGACCTGTGCACGTGGCTCTGGGGCATCACTAGTGCTGCTCAGCAGCACACACTGCCCTTAGCCAAAGGCCCTGCTTGTTTTCTAGGTACACATTTACAGCATCAGGTTGAGAGGTTATCCCTGTTCCTCCTCCTTTCCTTCATCACATTAGATCTCCACCTAACCTTCAGACTTGCAAAGTAAAGGGAAATCACACTAAATCCTAACGTGGCTCTACCTTGATCTGCCTGGCTTCTGCATGCTTCCCAAGAACCCTGGCCAGGATCTTGGCCTTAAAAATATCCTCCAGTAACTCACTATTTTAAGCTCTTATGATACCACAGACACGTAATTATTCACTGGGTAGAAAGCCTCCCACAGGCACTGAACTACTGAAAATTCTCATGTGCCAGATGTGGTCCCTTTTGTGCTTTTTCAGCATGTGGTGCATGACCCAGAGAGAGAGATCACAGCTAGAAAAGTCTTCCCTCTGCTGAACTCTTGGGTGCTATTGCTAGCTTGGGAGCCTTGATGGGTAAGGTGAGTTGGGACAAATCTAAAGCTGTGCTACTCCTCAGAACTGGCCTGGGGCAGTTGTCACCAGAAGAGAGATGAAGTTCAGCCACAGGTCTCCTCACCAGGCTGACTTTAAGGTTTAATCACTAGGTTTCCCCCAGAACTCAAGTATTCATTTAGAAGATCACATAAATGCCAGAAAAGAAGTACTGTACGAGACAGAACTTTGTCTTGAACAAATAAAATGACCACATTGGTCCCTTTGTGCATTTTCTAATCTAAATTAATGGGAAGATGAGTGACAAGGATCTCTCAGGAAATAACAATTTAGAAAATCTGGACTGACAGGCAGCTACTGAAGCTATTTGTTTGCCTAAGGACTCAGTGGGACTCTTCCATACATCTGTTCTGCAGGGTGTCTGTACAACCAGGGTTTGAATTGCCTCTAGTTTAGCAGCTCTACCCCAACAGCATTTTTTTCCCAAGAGATTATTGTACCCACCTATCCCTTTCTAGACAGGTGATATCTGGACCTGGATTGGAATCCTGTATTCCTTTACATGGATGAGCTGGACTCTTCCATAAGCTACAAAAGCATAATATTTAAGGAAACAGAGGTGCTTCTAGTTACTCTGCATGAGACCCAAAGGAGCACATGGGCTACATGAGCAGCCTTGGTGGAATAAGTGAAAGATATTCATAAAATGAACAGCCTGGGTTAATTTGCTGTGGCAAAAAAAAAAATTACAGTAGTCTGAAGGTCAAATGGAATGAAAACATAATTTTAATCTTCTTATCTACTTATAAATCACTGATATTTTAGGTCTGCTGAAGTGATTTATAGAGATTTTCACATAGCAAGCTGGCATGCCTGTTACATGTTGACCTAAGTTTACCTCCCATAATTTTGTGAATTCCCAGAATGGTATTTGACATGTGGAGTCACCAGCAGCTGGGCCTGCTGTACTGTAACCCATGGTACAGCAAGCTTACAGGAAAATTCTGGTGGTTGAGAGGCATTTATCAAGGGATCTTCAATATTCCTAAGTCATTGTCCTCCAGCAGATCCTCACCTAGTGACAGACAGAGGCAGACAACCCACTGAAGTCTCTGCTGGAGTGAGCAGCTAAACCTCCCTCTCACACCCATTTTGGGATCAAGTCCTTTCACCTTTTAGTATCCTCTGCCTCAGTGTTCTCTGCCCAGCCACAAGCCTTGGTCCTTCTTCCATACCCGTGGCCAGGCAGGTTCAGTGAGGACAATGACATGTGCCTGTTGTCTGCTCGACCTGCTCTGACCACCACTAACAAATGGCATCTCAAGCTGGTGAGCCACTGTTTCTCCCTTTACATACCCATGCTGTTTGCACCAACCTACTTTCTTAACTAGCAGAGAGGAAGCCAGCAGAGCCCAGACCTTACCATCTGATTCGGAGGCTGCTCTGAAAATCAGGTAGCTGCTGGGAAGAGGCTGAGTGATGGAACCAACGTTTTCTCCCTTTGGGCCCTGCAATGCACACAGACAAAGAGACATAAGGCACAGAAGATGCAATCAACCATTCGACATCTTTCCACCCTTCCTGGGCAGAGTGTGTGTGTCTGTGATGGGAAAGAAAGAAGGAGCAGATGGAGTAATTTAGAGAGACTCATTAGTAACCACGACACTGCTGCTGCAGCTCCAGAGCGGTGCTGAGCTGACACAAGTGGGGCTTGGTCTAACTATGCTCAGCCCCAAACCTGCTCTGCTTCTCCACATCTTCAGGGACAGAAGAATGTCATTCCTGTTGCTTGGGACAAAACCAGTCAAACCTTTGCTATGAGCCATCTCTGTGCAACACCTGAATGGTGCATGCTGAAACTCCATCCTGCCAGCCTGTCTGTGGGAAAGGAGGAGACAAGGAGAGCCACAGGCTGAGGAACTCAGGTCTCCCAGCATGGGGATGTGCTGCTGGGTTGCAGTCCTTCACCTCTACACCCAGACCCTTTGAGTAGCTTTCTGCCTGGAGTGACAGCCCCTTCAGCAAAAACAAGCATTGCTTACGTCACCTTTAGTTTAGGAGCTGTGGCAAAAAAAAAGATGCCAGTGTTTGTAAACAGCCTGCCACAACCCCTTCAGCACAGCCCTCCAGGAATGAGTCCCAGGGAGGCAGAGCACATCTTGGACTAGGCACTTCTTCGAGCAGAACCACAGGCTCCTACTTTGATCTCCTCCCTGTTTTCTCCTCTCTTTCTCCTTCTCCTCTCCTGAGCTGCAGAAGCTGCTAAGCAAAAGCAGCTCCTGTACCCAGTGAGCACAGCTTCAAACCCCCTGAGGTATGGACTTTATGGCATGACCTGCCTCTTTCCTTGCACTTCCAACGTGACCCAGCCTCCTCCAGCTCCCTCCTCACATAGCACACCACAGAAAGCAGGTACTTTCTCAAATCTGCAGACATCATGTCAGAACTAAAAGCAGAGAGAAAACATCCCCAAGACTGGCACGACCACGACACCAGCTGCAGGGTGGAACAAGCAGTTTTCTCCAGGATGCTCAAATACAGTTTTTCTTCAGTTTCTAGAGTATCCCACACAATGCTGAAAATCTGTAGACAAATTTTTGCTGTTTGAGTGTGACTCCCCTCCCTTACCTAGGCCTCTATAGTATCCCATCCTCCTCCCTGAAAGAAAGACCATTAGTTTAAGCAGGGAAACTGTGACTACTGCTGAAAACTGCTCCTGTACACAAATGTCTGATAGTTAAATGATGGTTTTATCTGGATTTTTGCTTTTGAGTTCCACTCAGGAAACCACAATTTGGAAAGAATGAAGAGTGCAAGCACAGGACAAGCATCAAATTGTATCTGAGTGTACGTCATGAAGATGCAGTGCTGAGAAGACAACAGTCTCCAGTCTAACTTCTCTTCACATCTGTGAACATCTGTGGGGTACTTCTGCTGCCAGGAGAAATTTGGATCCGTGTTACTTGCTTCTTTTTCCCTCTCTCCCAGAAGAGGTTCACAAAACTAAGACCATTTAAAGGTTTAACAGTCAGGACTGGCAAAGCTGAGATTTGGCTAGTAAACCCGAGCAGAGCAGCTTAAGCCATTGCTGGTGATATTAATGCAGTCAGGCACTGTTCCTGGTGGCACTTCTCCTTTCAGTAGCTTGCAGCTGAGCAGGGTGTTTGGGAACTGTTGATAACACCACCCCTTGGGTTTTCAGTGCAGAGCTTGATATTTGCTCTGTTGGAGGAACTCCCCCCAGTCCAACAGTACAGGGCCAGAAAACTGCTATTAAAAAAAAGAGGGGAAGGGAAGGAGGGGCTAACACAAGGTTTTAACAGACATTTGGGCATGTGGACAAATACAAGGAGCAGCCAGGTCACTCTGTCAAGGAAACACTCAATAGTAAGGCATGCTCCTACATGGAAGGGAAGGGGCTGCTTCCCACAGAAAGGGGAGGAGAGGCCATAAAAATAAAGTCCCCATCTCCACAGGGTAAATGAGGTTCTGCATCTGCACGGCAGAGATAATGAAGCTTTCTGTCTCCCAGCCTTTGAGCATCGTGCCTGTTCAGAGCCTGAGACCCCCAAGACAACGACCATCTCTCACTAGAAGTGAATCTTCTCCTTGCTACACCAGGAGCCAGAGCTCAGCTGCAGCCTCAGCACAGTACAGCTAAGAAGGAATCATCTTCAGATCATTCCTGTCTGATCTGAGCCTCAAAAGGCATTTGAGGGCTACCAAACAGGGGTTGATTTGGCTGTGACAAATGGAGTGGAATCACACTGGTTTAGATAGCACCACAAGACATCTAATCTTGGAGAGTCACAGAACAAAGCTTATAAAGAGGGGAAAAAATCCCTCTCATTGATGGCATGGTGGATAACTGGAAGGATGAAGATGCAAGTAACTGCCTTTTATTATGGGGTAAACAACAGTGAAAGCAGCAGCAAAGCCCATTACTTGAGCTTTTTTCTTTAAAGGAATGACTCAAAGTTCTTAAAATCAACAAAATTAAAACATATCTATATATATACCCCCCCAGATTCAGTGGGTCTTACCCCAGCTCATTTAGTGCTCTGAAGAGATGTCAGAAGAAGCTGCAGTCCATAGAGCCTGCCCACACCACACCATTCAGCTAGCTTCTCAGCAGGCTAAGGGAAACATGACCTATTCCAGGACACTTTTTTTTTGGGACAGCGGAGCAAACCTTGCCTTCTGACAGCCCTACCATCCTCCTGCAAAGCAAGAGGACAGATGCCCACACCCTCACAGGAATTACCAGGTCTGCATCCCCCAGTCTCCTGCAGTTCACTCAGTAAAATCTCTCCTCCCTGAAGCAGTGTGGGATCACTCTGCCTTCACATGATGGGCAAAGTTCCTCTGCAGCAGTACTCAGAGAGTGCAAGGGAAGCTTTTCAGAATCACAGAATGGTGGGGGCTGGAAGGGACCTCTGGAGATCACCTCACCCAACCCCCCTGCCTAATGCAGGGTGACCAAGAGCAGGTTGCCCAGGATCACATCCAGGCAGGTTTGGAATCTCTCCAGAGAAGGAGACTCCAAAACCTTTCTGGGCAGCCTGATCTAGGGAGGGATCAGTTCTGGCACCCTCACAGGAGAGCCTCTTTTCTTACTGCTTCTTGCACTGCTGACTATTTCAAGACCTTGGTGGTTTCGACCTTTGATTTGCAAAGGCCTGAGCAGAGCAAATAGGTAAAAGGTCTAATCCATTTGCACTGTGAAGGAGTTTCAGGCTAAAACTCTCAAAAAGCCAGGGAAGCAGTGGAGAATAAAGGACTCCTGCCTCAGTGATGTGCATCTAAAATAGCTCTAGACACCAGAGAGCTTTATAGGAAAAACAGTTCCTGGTTGGAAAAACAGTTGAAATTCAGCTAGCACAAGTATTGCCTCAGTGATGTGCTTCTAAAATAGCTCTAGACACCAGAGAGTTTTATAGAAAAAACAGTTCCTGGTTGGAAGAACAGTTGAAATTCAGCTAGCACAAGTATAAAAGCTCAGGGCACATCTGCTGCAGGGCTGAACCCCTTAGACCCAAACATCTGCTGAGCAGCTGCACCAACACGTACAAAGGTCCTCAGTAATCACCCTCAGCTAGCTGCAAGTCCACTGATGGATGAGTCAAAGCTGGACCATCAACTCTAGTCTGGAAAAACCTTGAAAACTTCACAAGCCATTTTAGCCAGAAGTGAAAGTTGTTTGGCCAAACCATGTTTCTGTTGTGGTGGACAGTGACCTGGGCTTTTGCTGAAGCTTGGGCTCATCTATGTTTCATGAGAAACAGCCTTTCTTTGCACAGTTATACATAGCCAATTTAGATCAGTCAGTTCTGCTCCAGCTGCTTTAACAGAAGGCCATGAAATGACAAAACCAAACAGCATTTTTACCAGTTTCAGCCTTAAACTGTTGTCAGAGTGCAGACAGCTTCTTTAACATCAAGCAGCTCACTGGTGGATTTCTTCTTGATGTGTGTGTTGGTGCTCACCTTGTGCCTGAAAGCATCTATCACACAGAACTATGCAGGCTGAACCCAGGGTTCAGGGAATATCCCACCATGCAGCTTTCTAAATATCTGTCTCAAGTGACTTAGAATATTGTTTTGACTTTAAAATTCAAATCTCTTGGGACTTCCTCTAACACACAAACATTTTTCAGAGATACTTTCCCTTCATATTTAATACACCAATTCCCATTTCTATCACGTATTTTGTCAAGAGGCACAAGAATTAGATACACTTACAGATCCACAAATACATATTGATAAAACTCCTCTTTCTTTTGGAGGATTCCTAGCAAGGGAAGGACATTCTAGCACAACACCTCAGCCTGCTCAGTGACACTATTTTTCAGTACCTGACTGCACTTTGTATTCTACTTTTTCACTACCTCTCTTGATTGTGCTTTTCAGAATTCATCTGACCTGTCAAGTCACAAGGAATTCTTCTGTTGATGGAGTTGATGGTAGTTTTTTTTCTTTTTTGCCTATTCTTAAAGGAAAAAAGAAAAAGAAACACAACTCTTTAAATGTTGCAGAGAGTTCTTTTAAGAAGTGTGAGAAACTTAATCATCTGAGTCCCAGGGAGATCCAGAGGTTGCTGCAGGAAGAGCCTGTCTCAGCCTGCGAGCAACAACAGACAAGAAGGACTCAGAGTGAAGGGGATAAAAAGCTGCTATTTCCATTTCAAAGGACAGAAAATTAAGTCAACCTATCCCAAGTCGGTCACACTTTTGTGGAACAGTCCAGGCTTGAGCAGACCACTGAGTTCCAAGTGCATCACAGACAAACCCAAACCTCAGAGGTATTAGAAAAACAGAGTCAAATTATTAATCTGTTTTTTGTCACTTTGCCAGTGCTCTTCCACTGTTGTGCAAAGCTCTTGGTGATTTGCATGTCCTTGTTTTGGGGAAGTCAGTTAATTGGGTATATTCCTCATCTCTTTTTAAAGATGTAGGCCATGGCCTGATGGAGCTTCTAGGCATTGATCTTTTTTCCTGCAGTCACACATTTCCCCTTTCCTCACTCTAGGCACACGTCTATACACCAAGAATGGCACATTTGTGTCACAACACAACACACCACACTCCTTTGATGTCATACCAGGACCAAGCTTTGGTGTCTTTAATCTCTCAGGTAGTCAATTCACCATCACTAACATCAGCTGAGTAACTGCAAGTCTAGAGAACACCAATGCTAGACAATATCAGTGCTCAGAGGCTTTGGTGACCAAGAAGAGGTTGTTTGACTCTGCAGGATCGTTACCTTTACAGCCCAGATTGATTGATCCAGTGGATGAAAAAGTTTAAAACAGAAGCCATCCTTTTTGGAGGGTCTCTCTATCAGCTCACAAGAATGGAGCAAGATTGTCCCAACCCACTGTCCAATCTTTGGTGTCTTATAAATCAGCAGCACTCCTGGCTTCAGAACACACCACAGCTTGGTCCAGCTCTTCAGAGTCCCACGAATCTGGAAGGGAGAGAACAAAAAGTTCCATTTATGTTGCTCCTTAAAAGCAAAGCTGCACTTATTTGTTATTTATACAGTACTTCCAGTATGTGTTTCTCCCAAGGCCACACTATGATACACTTCCTTGGGAAAATGCACTGTGTTGTCTCAACAGTCTTAGGGATCTCCTAGCAAAATCCCAGACTTTTTAAATCTGGCTACCAGAATCTAGTCTTCATATTTTTATTAGAGGCTCAGTGCTTAATTTTTTAGGCAACCAGCACTGCTGGCCCATGTGATGGTGATTTTTTAATAACCATGGAGGACACACCAATTAGAACATTGCACAGCAAAATGTTGCAGCCAGTCTCACTCAACTTAGAAGTCACTGCAATAGAGTTCTGCAGAAAAGAGCTATTAATGGGTTTTGTCAAATACCTCATTTTTAAAGCATCTTCTCCAGCTGGTTTACCTCTCTGTCAAGCTCAATGCACGCTCTCTCTTGGGTAGAAGAGATTAAATTTGATGGCATATATTAAAGATAACAGCTTTAAGAATGGGGAAGTTTCTCAGTAAGGTCAGATTTTGCCCAAGGTCTTCTTGTCTTCATTGTTACATAGGCCAAATGACAACTCTTATGTCAGCATTCCATTTGTGTGGTCTGGCATTATTTGTTGCTGAACCAGAAAATTCTAGACACAGCAAACATGCAACAGGTATTTTGTGTTCTAAAAAATCCCAATATTTATCTGTCATCAACATTAAACACTATGGAACCCATCTCAAAATAAACTATACATATCTCCCTTTTCTGCCCTCTAAGACTGACTGTAAAACAAGGTTTCTCACACTGGTGAAATGCAATTTATTGTTTCATGAAATTAAAGGGTTGTGTTTGGTGATGTTTGGAAATCAAGTTTTGCCATTACAAAGAGGGTAATCAATTCACTATTAGCTGAGAAGACTAAATGGCCCCAAATGAGGAGTAAAACACTGCTCAAGCGTAACATCTCTCAACGTCAATCCAAATTTATTTTGCCACATACAAAGTTTCAGGACTTTAGTGAGAAGCTGTCACTAGTTGAGTCTGCATAAGGAGAAATTCCAGTTGTCATGAGGGTCACTACGTTTTGTTCTGTGCTGTGACAACACAACACAACTGTCAATAGAACAAGCTGTATCTGTCCATTTCTGGGTGACTCTGCCTGTTCCCTCTTCAGCACAAAAACACCTCTATGGGAAGAGGCCAGCAGACTTCTTCAGAGGAAAAGGAAGAAAGAAACATCATCACTTCCTTCTGTACTAGGCCCTTTTGGAGAACTTGTGACTAATTAAGGACAGGGAATAAATGGATCGAGTTAGGTTATGATGGAAAGTAAATACTCCCTGTAACTCCACTTTTATAGCAGTTATTTAAAGATGGCTTTACAGCAACTTCAGCTCAAAATTATTTAGTCTTCCTCTACTAAAAATGTGTCAGTGCATACATCTCAGACACATCCACCACTTCTCACTTCTTTTTTCCTTCAGCCTCAGAAGCAGTTGTCTGTATTTAATACCTTCAGCCAGTCTGCTGTGATCACTACGCTGGGATCCTTCAGAGCACTGAAGAGTTGTTTGGTAGCTCTTTTCTTCTCCTGTCTGTAATTTTTTTTTTGTACCTGGTTGAGAAGAGAGAAAATAGAGCAGCTGTAATCACAGCCTCTTTTGGGGAGGGAAGAACACAATGCATTAAGGGCAGCTATGTATAGCACAGCTAGAACTTGACCCAGCACAGGTTCCCCAGAATCAAGCACAGGGAAGAAGAGAAATATAATGTGATAGAAGGCATTGTCTTTGCTCTTGAAGTTCTGCTAAACAGAGTCTAATTTGGCTTTTCTTTGGGGGGAATGGAGAAGAGGCTGGATACCCAGGCCTTCCCACCCCTCAGATTGAAGAGACTGAATCTCATGGCATCCAAAACAGATTATTTATACTTTTGGTTCGGTGGACAAGCAAGTGTCCAGGCAATAATTTGCTCAGATTGCCCAGGTATGACCCTCCTAACAGGACCAGTGAAGGGCCACAACCCTCCTGAGGTGCCTAATGGCTCTGGAACATGGAAACAGAGTGAAATAATTACACTGATTTGCTCTGTCCACACTACATAATCTAATTCTCTATATAAAGCCTGTAAATGCCCTTGGCCTATAATGACTCCTAGAAGAGCTGGAGGCTTCTCTGGGTCTTGGGAAATGACTCAGAGTAGTTCCCAGTGGTTTGTTTGGAAGGTACTGCTTGTTTTGTAAAAGAAAGTCATCTGATGCTGCCTTGGCTGCTTTGCACATACCTTCAGTGTTTCCTTCTTCGTGAATTTGGCTGTGGGAGACACACACTCTTTGTCAGACCCATTGCAAAGCTTATATTCGATCTAAAAAAGAGGGAGAGACCAAATAGGAATGAGTTAAGATGAAGATGTGCAACTTATGCTCTAATGCAGAGTCGTTCAGATCTTCCAGGAGTCCATGGAAAAGCTGGTTGCAGACTTCAGGAGCAGAACGCTGGGCAGGCACAGGAAATCTCCATCTGCAGTGCAGTCCAAACCTCCTTTTTATATTCAGAGATGGTTGGAAAGTTCCCCACCAAACTTTCTTGGTATTTCTCCCTTGCAGACATTAATCTTGGTAAAAGAAAATTTAAAAACCACACAAAAATCCTGTTCTTATTCCTAAATTTGAAAACTGCTCATCTGTTTTTAGTTCTGAAAGCATTTCAATTACTGGAGTAGAAATTACAGGGAAGCTGGTATAGACCTTTCAGAACTAGACTTGATGTTGGCAATGACTGCTGCCCTAGCTGAAACATCCAGAAACATGAGTGGGCAAGAAATGACCTCATCATGTTACAGATAATACAGGAAATCATCATCATCATCATCTTGCCCTTGCGAGTCCAGGCACAAAATAATACAGTCACTTCAAATCACATTTGATGGTGTCAGTGCTGTTTAAATTCATTTTTAGAGGCTACAGACTGATCTCATGATTGTGCTGATGGGCTGAAAAAAATGTTTTACTTCTGTCAGACGTGGTCCCAATATTACAGAAAATAGTGTACACGTAGAGAGCATAGCTGCCTGGAGCAGGACCCTGCCTGGACAGGCACTGGCACCAAATTGTCCAAAACCTGGGGAGGGTCAGTGGCAGGGGAATTATGGTACAACCTGGGCTCAGGTACATTTGCATGACCTTGGGGAAGTTGCACCTCTTTTCCCCAACCTTTCATGTCTCTGATGCATTCACACTGTGATCTTCTAGGATCAGACAGTCTCTCTCCTACTTATGCATGACAGTTGTATGAAAAAGCTCAGCCCTTGGCCACTTTGATTTGATGGGTATCACACAAAAATGAGCTGTAGGAAGGGAAAGCTGTATCAAACTTTGTGAAACAAACCCACTTGGGCTCTCACACTCCTCCTTTACCTCATGAGTTGATGCAGTTGTTTTAAAGTGCTTTCAGTTTTGAGAGACCCACTTTCTTTTTCCCTCCCAGTGACACACAAACCTCTCTGACCACTACAGGCACCAACCACACTGAACACTAGTGTGCACAGGAAAACATTTCCTGACAGCTGGATCAGTCCTCTTCACACGACCTGGATAAAAACACACAAGTCTGTGACCAGATGACAGCAGACAAGCCATCAACTCTGCTTTGGAGACTGGCAGGAGCAAAGATGGGAGATGAGGGTGTGTGCTCAAGCGAGCAAAACCCTTTGGGGATGATGCAGGATCAGAAATTAGGGGCAGAAGGTGCAACCTGCAACAGAGGCACTGTAGAACCCAGTACTTGTTCTCATAATAGTCTTCCACTAAACCCAACACTACACATGGTACATGTAAATGGAGAATTGAACACTCAGTGATGGCCCACAGAGACCAGTGAAGTCCCTGACCTGACTGTCCAGTTCACAAGCCAACTTGGCACTGGATCCACTCAAAGAAAACACCAGCTCTGAGACTCCTGCTGGCTCTTCAGCAGTTGTCATTTTTGTTTTAACAGGAAGCTAAGCCTGCCCACCCCCAGTGCACTGTAAAACCACCAGACTGATGGTGGGGACCACAGCACAGATAGGACGTCTGAGCGGAGAACTGTGCCTGCAGGGCCTCTGTCACATTTCAAAGGGCAGCAGCAGACCTTTGGGAGAGATGCTATAAGCTTTTCTTTAGGAGGAAACATTGCTAAGTGCTTAAATGTCCCTGAGCGAGAACGTTTTGGAATTATCAGCAGATTATGCCTTCATGATTCCAGACGTGTGTCCTCTGAAGCTGGTCAGAGGACTGCTCCCCCTTTCTCCCAATTAGCAGGGAGAATGTCCTGTCCTTGAGATACAGCTATGAGCCAATTGTTCATTGGTGATTTCACTCCCTCCAGCCTGAGAGATCAGACACAGGGAGAATCACTGTGTATAATCCCTCAGCAGCCAGTGTGAGAGGCAGGAAAAGCACAGATGTCCTTAAGACTCTGGGAAATTCTGCTCAGGTGTCTGAAAAGCAGCAGGATATAATGAAAGCTATATCCTGATAGCTGATATTCCAACAGTCACTTCTTGTCTAGACACCTGCATCTTAGCACTTATATAAAGAATAAAATTTTGGCCCCTAAGCTCACTTGGCTCAAGGAAATTTGCTTGAAGATGAATTCAGAAAGGCTGAACAACAGCACTTTCAGGGCTCTACCAGCCACACCAACCTCCTCCTCAGAGTCTCTCTGGGTCTTGCTAAAAATGGAGTTAAACAACCACAAGACTTCAAAGCTGGGGTGTTAACACAGAAAGACACCCTTACACCACCATAGCCTTCAGGAGCTCAATAAACACAGGGAAACTTGTCTGAAATCACTACAAGCCAGTCCTTCACTTGTTCAAAGCTCCTGGACTGACAGCCTTGGAGGGTGCTGTGGTGGGCTCCTGAACCACTGGGCTGCTTCCCCCAGGCACTGCCCCATGTCTGAGCCACATCCAGACTGCTGGCTTTGCTGATTTTGCCTGTAAAGGGAAGCACGGGCACAGGGATGGTGCACACTAAGACAGGCTGAAGAAAGAAGCAGTAGTGTATGTTCCTCACCGTCTGCCAAAGAAATTCTAAGCATAGGAAAAAAAATATCTGTGCTGCCATGTCCCAAAGCCTGTGATGTGCCAGCTTTGTGATGAACAGTGCAGCTCCCCAAGACACCTGTAAAATGACCAAGCTGTAAAAAGAGAGAGAAAAAAAATCACTAAACCCATGGTTTTAACTGGGAGCCATGGACAAGCTTTCAGATGTGCCTGACCTGGGGCTTCTGGTTTTGGAAATGTGATGCTGCTCCCTAGTTACTTTTTCAATGAGTCAGACTGATCTCCTCTCCCTGCTGGTTTTGGTTTTGTTATGCTTATGAGGATGCACCACCACAGATCCTAACCAGCTGTTTGCCTGCAAACGAGCTCCAGGTCTACAGAGTGCCAAGGACTGCATTGCTGGGTTCCAAGTTCCTGTGAAGAGGTGGGATCTGAGGCACCAGGACTGCACATCACAGGCCCCATGCAGCTGAGAGAATGTGCAAATCCTCCAGGCTTAACCTGCTAAGTGACTTGAAGAAATCTGATTTCATGTTTTTACATAAATCTGTCAACAGTTTTGAGGTAACTCATGCCATGCATAAGATTCAGTAAATCTGGGCCATCAGCTCTGAAGATCCCTAAGACACAGCAAAGCCTTACATCACCATGTCACATCCAGAGCACTTGGTGATGACCTATTGCCAGGCCCTTCTCAGCCTGGCAGAAAACCCAGAGAAGCCACTTGTCATCCCAGGAGATCTTTCAAAGACACTGGGATAATCCTTGTGCAGGGTATCAGAATCTGGCCCCTTCTTTCTGCAGCAGTAGGGGAACAGTATTAACTGGAGGTAAGACTTTGTACACTGGGAGGTGTTACTTTGTACACTGGGGTGCTTGTTAAAACTAAAAAAATCCAACTGGACACAACCATATTCTAAAAAGGAAGCAATAGGTATGTTTTCCATATGCTGGTTCTCCTAATGAGAAGAAGGGAAGCCTATTAATCCACCCAAAACTTCTACCAGGGTGTGCAGCAGCAGTTGCAGGGGTAGGAAACTGTTGTTGCTCTTCAGCTCTCCAATCAGATGGGTCCTTTCCAGGCCTGAGCAATGACCTTGCTGTTCTGCAGTCAGAAACAGACTTTTCATCCCAGTTAGGTTTCTGTTCCCTTTCATCTCAGTCATGCAGCTCTGGAGCTCTGCTGCTGATTGTTAGCAGTCATCACAATGCCCTCACACTTCTGCTAGGCTTTGTAAGAGAGCACAAAGAGTCCTCACAATAGTGCCATTCTGACCCCATGCCATTTTGGTGACTTCATTTCCAAGAGGAACCAAATCCTTCCACAGGAGAAGAGCCTGTGGTGTGGGGGTGCCAGCCCCTCAGTGTGCTGTGCCTCAGACAGCAGCAAGAGGAAGATCCTGTTGCTTGGCACAAGCAATCCTTGCTGCACAGGATGAACACAAAAAATGGCTAATGAGAGACAAATAGGGGCAATTATTCCCTGCTCAGCAATGTTTAAATACAGTTATTCTCATGCTGTGGTCTGCCTGTTAACAGCAGTGACAGCTTACAAGTCACTCTCTTTTCTTCTTCAAGTCCAAGTGAGAGAAAGATGAAATCAGATGGGAATTTGGAGGCAGAACAAAAGCAGCTGGGGTCATAAGTTCTGTTTCACAAAAGCAAAAATAGTCACTGCATGGGAGACAAGTCCTCGCTCACATGTCATTTCCCCAGTATCTTTTCCACATATAACTGCTACAGAAATAAAAGAAATGAAACAAAAGTTCCTGAAGTAGTAGCATAAACACAATGGAGAGGCTGGGTTTAATGTTAGAAGTTAAGAACTCATTGCTAGGCTGAATATTCACAGATATATCAACCACATTTAAACGATTTTGCTTTCAATTTACTATAAGCAGTTCTATCAAAAAATGTTTTCATTGTTTGTTGTCAATTAACAGCTCATCCAAAAGCACAGCACAGGCAGTGGAATGGTTCTTACTGACTAACAGCCTTCGCATTAGGAAAGGTTACCCTTCAATTAACATGCTGCTTTACAGCAAGTTGAGTCATCTTCACCTAAAACTTTCTAGTTTGCCTCCAAAAAACCCAAATTCTCTTATTTCAAGAACATTGTAGGGCCAGCACCCCTGTTTACAACACTGGAATAACACAACCATTCAATGAGGAGCACACAGGGGAGAGCCTGTGCAAATAAACAGCTGACATGACAGCAGTATCTGGGGAAAATCACTGCTGAAGTTCAGCTATCCAAACAGCTCCAAATATCACATTATACTCCTGTTTAGTGGAATTCTTTGCTCCACTGCGTCAGATTACAGTAAATAAAGAAAAATTCACAGCCAGCATGGGCTTTCAGTTTGATCCTTTAAGTGTGCCTTTCATGGGAAGAAGGTTCTGCAAGTTCAGAATATTTTAAGGCTGTTTTAGGTGAGATGGGAAGGTGCACACTGAGGAAGATGCTCTTCCCATGACTGACACAGCTGTAGTGCTAACAGAACGAAGCAGAGCTTTGCTTTCCCCTCTAGCTATAGGCACAGCTTTTGTTCCTATGCTGAGTTTAAATGAACGAAGAAACGTGAGCAATGGAAACCAACTGGACTTTCTGCTGAAAATATGCTTTGCTAAATTATTTAATAAATAATTTCCATTTTAGCACCTCATCTCCCCCATGAGAAACACAGGAGTAAGGAACTGTGGTCATGCCAGCACTGCTGTGGCTTACCCAGACCTATCAACTTTGAGGTTTCATTTCTGTAAGTGAAGTCAGTACTGTCTACAATCCCCTCTGGGAGGCACCTGAGTGTCTCAGGGCTTGCATCCACCTACACAAGTTAGGGATGCCCCACGTTCCAGTGCAAAATCCCAGCCCTCTTCTCTACAATCTTCCCAGGATACTCCAGGCTGCATCCCTGCTCCACTGAGATCAGCTGTGAAGCCCTTCATGTACAACAGTGATCACCCAAAAGTGACATGCCTGGAGTTAAGAAGTCAGATGTACCTGAGCCAGGGCACAGGGACTGAGTGTCAGTCCTGGCAGAGACAACTAGCTCTGAAGTAATTCCATCCACAGCATCCACACTATGAAGCAGGGTGATGAGAAGCCAGCAAAGCCAAGCACAGCAGCACCTGGAGGGGCCAGGCTCTCCCAGAAAATCCAGCTTAGCACACACAGGGAATGTTTCACTCCTGAGCCTCCCCAAGGTGATTCCTGCAACGTCTGGATCTTTCTGACCGTTGATTCCTCCATTTGCTGCCCACGGGAGGACAGAGGGAAAGGTACCACTGCAGGTTTCCAGAGCTGTGAATGATCTTTGATGACAGTCCCAAGTGTACCCATGGCTGGAATTAACTCAGAGCATGATTCATAGATCTAGAAGGATGAGCTCGAGACAGCACAGGACTTGTAGCTGAAATCTCAAGTGATTGGTATAAGCTGTTTCAAACCACTTTGCAACTGAAATAAAATTTCTAGCAGCCACCTAGATTCATAGGTCAGGCTACAAACCAGACAATAAAGACTTGAACAATTCAGGCGTGTGGAAAAACTCATTCCCAATGAAAAAAGCAACCCAAGCTCTGTCCTCCCATACATCACACAGCTGCAGGCAGCAGCTGCACTCCTACAGCATGACAAGTTTAGGCTCCACTGTGGTGTTACTGGGGGACTGGAAAGAGAGAAGAACCACTGACTGCCAGCTTCAGGATTGTTCTGACTGTCCCTTAAAATACAGTTCAATCCTTTGTGGGCTCTGCTTGCCTAGCAAGAGACCCCAGCTGCCCTCCAGCCAGGAGAATGAATAGGTAAGCACAGGAAGGGAAGAAAAAGAAAATGCAGCCCTGTGTATTGCAATAAAAGGTGCCTTAAAGGAGGCTAACAGTGCTGAGAGTGAGGCACAAGATGAGAAAAAGGCATCTTCTGTCACCATCAGGTGTGTGCTATCTGCACTGCCTGGCTGCAGAGAGGAGCTTGATGTCTAGAGACAGTTTTGTGATGCTTTCACACCCCACTATTAGCCCTGGCCTCAGAAAACATGGCTAAAGGGCTCTAAAAAAGGCAGAATACAAGAAAACAATACAAGAAACTAATACAAGAAACAAAGTGAAGTAAATATGCTAGTAATCTTTTTTTCCCTTGAGAGGGGAGATGAAAGAGATGATTTAACTGAAATCAGAAATATATATTGCTAAGAACTGCACCAACACACTGAAAGCAAACATTCCAGCAGCAAGTTTTTGACTGTGAGCACAGGCAGGAGAATGGGATGTGTCCACAGCTCAGACACAGCCCAGCCAGGAGCACACACTAGTGTGGATGCTGAGAAATGGCTCCACAGCTCACCAGTTCACAGACTTTTACAGGGTTTTTCCATGATACCTCCCCAGGTATCTGCTAGCCCAGGAAGCCTGCAGCCTGCTCCTGGTGTGGCTGCTGAAGGAACACAGATTTCCAACAAGGTTTGTTCTATCCACTCTGCCAACAGAAGGGTAAGTATGCACAGCACGGATCTGTTACCTACCACATTCACTTCTGAATCCATTAATTAAACCTGCACACCCTACAGCTTGGTTTCTAAAAATGATCTGCCCCCTGCTATCAGGAATCTAAACATGACCCACTTAGCACACACTCCTTCCTTTGGTTCAAGTAGCTGGAATCACTATTTATTTTTAAATTGGAATACTGTAAGTGATCCCTATTTACACTCTGGACACCCGACAGCAAAGTTTCATTTTATAGTCTTAGAGCTGGGTGGATGTGAAAAATGAAATATTAAGCAAACTGACCACCAGTCTGCCTCCATTTTGAGGGATAAGACCTTTCACAATAGGAATTCAGAAGAAAAGTCTTGTGGCTGGAGGGGATGAAGGCAGTCTGCAGCACAGTGAGGTGAAGCAGAGTGAAGTGGGAAGGACAGGCACTACAGCACAGCTCCACTGAGGGGGGAAGTCTCTGACTCAAACATCATGTACCTAAGCAGAACACCCAGGCAGGAGAGAAAAATCTTGTTCTGGCCCATTCAGTAGCCAAAGCAATCACCTGCAACACTCCAACCAGCAGGCAAGCTGAAGCTGGGTGTTCTGGGGTCCTCATATCTGGTTTTTGGTGTTTCAGAGCAATTTTGCCTGTTGTAGAACCAAAGCCTTGGGTTGGTGAAAGCAAAGCTTGTGTCCAGGCTCAGGCCCCCATTTGTTTTGAATCACAAATCTGATATAACTTTGTGCTGTGCATTTTCTTTCCTCTCTTCTTAACAACTGCTCTTGATACTGTCACAGAGAGACCCATCAACACCTCCCAGGTGCACACAGAGCATGGCAGAAATCTAGGTGGGCACCCAAATCTTCCAAGGGTGCTTCTCCTTTGTAAACCACACCTGCAGGAGACTAAATAGCAAGAGAGGCCCTGGGGCTGGGAACTCACAGCTGAGCTATGTTCTCACCCAAATACCTCTCATAAATGCATTACTACTGTTGCATTCATCCTACACCTCAGCAATCAAACTCCCTTTTGGACAGCATTTCAGTGCTCCGAGTGGTCCTGTCCAGAAAAAGTCCTTCTCCTTTACATTCCCAAGTCACTGGGAATTGAACACCCCTCCTTGTGAGGTATGCAAAACATCTGGCTTTAAAACAAACCCCTGGATGCAGTTACCTAGTCCTTGGGCTCCTCCACAGCCAGGCAAAGTGGGAAGCTGGGTTTCCATGAGGAACCCCCCTGACAAAGCAAACCCAAGGTCGGTTTGCAGCTTGCCAGGTTCCAGCAATAGCAGAGGACCTGTACACGAGCCCTAGCTGCATGCCCCCAAAGTTCTCACCACCATCTCCCTGTGCTGGCCTCTGCCAGGCCATTCCATCAGAAGAACCTGGAAGCTCCAGGCAAGCACAGCCAAACATATTTGAAGATTCAGAGCCTGTTTTCATGTGTTAGAAGAAATCACTTGTCTGCAGCTGCTTCCTTCATGTTGTATTTTCATTTCAGCTGGTGGCATTTGCATTTTATAGATTCATAGTTGAATAAATTTAGTTAAAAATTTATTAACAGGCCTTGCTTCTATTTCTAGTTACTCTCCAGAAACATGCCAGGGAGCTGCAGCCAAAAAAAGCCTGTATGTGGGTCTCAAAGCCAGATCTCATTTATTAGCTTGACTCCATCTCTACAGGAAATCAAAGCCAGGCACTCAGTAACTGCAGATGTAGAGCCAGGTTTTGGACACCCAGACCCTTTAGCTGCAGTGTCACCTCTCCAGAAGAGGTGGGATGGAAGTGCTGTGTTCAGGAAATGTTGGTTAGTGTGTGTTCCCCTCCTGTTACACCAGCTCCCAGGGCTCCCTTCCAGGATCTCCACTCAGTCTTGGATGCTGTGCACTACTCTAAATATTTCAGCTTTCTCTTCCAAAACCATTACTGTTTCTGATTGCCTTTCTGATCAGGGACAGCAGGAGAAATCTTTGCTGACAAAATCAACCTTTCAACCATAATTATTCATAGCTAATTACGCTGCCAAACGAGGCTCAAATAAACAGGGTTCTTCTGTGGAAGGTGCTATCAGGTCAGAGGAAAGTGTAGGCTCTGCTGTCATCCCAACCATGCAAAAACCCCTCAGTTTTCCTCCTCTCAAAACATGCACACACAGTTCCTGCAGGACCAGAGGGAGGGGGTTTCTCAATGACTTTAAAAACCCCAGAAGGTAAGAATGATGAATAGCAGCCTGAGAAGGAAGGGAAGCAAGGCTAGGGATAGATCCCCATCCCACAGTACCTTACTAATGGAGTTTGGAGTCTGTGGTGTCTCATCCTTCAGTGCTGAGGGGCTGTTTCCTTCCACGTCTTTTCCTGCAACAAATACATGTGGTTCAGAAACAGAGAAATTCTGTGCAAAACCATGGCTACTCGTGGCCTTAGAAGGGCTACTGCTAACAGCAGGCAGGAGGAGCTGTCAGGAGCAGGCACAGCAGGATCACAGAGAGGGATTTTGCAGAGCTTGAAAATAGCCTGGCTCTGCATGCTTGGGCTATGCAACAGGCGTTGCTTGGAAGTTTGGTCTCAAAACAATGTGCTAAACCAACGTGATGGCTGCAAAGTCCAGCATACAAAGGCTGGAAAAAAAACAGAAATAAAGTTGCTTTTGCATCCTTAATCAGCCCCCTTCTGTGTCAGCATTATGAGGCAGTCTTTGATTACATTACCACAGTCTGTTCTTTCTTTACATACCCCATGCAAATAATAATGCAAATAATAAATGGAATTCAGTTAATAAACAGTAATTCAATACATTATCCTCCTTGGTCAGTACCTGGCAAGTATACACAGATGCACTTGGTAGCACACTTTGACAAATACTAAGCATGGTCATAAAACATTACAGAAGACAGAACAGCATCTAGACATAATTGGCAAAACAAAAAAGCCCTGCAGAAGATCAGTGTCCTCTGACCAAGTTATTTGTTAAAACAAGAAACGTTTTCAATTAACAAGTTGCATTTATGAACACTATGACATTTTCCAATCACTGTAGAAATATATTTCCACTACCCAAACATCATAATTTTGCAGTGCATTATACACATTATATACTAGTGTGGTGTAGTCCTAGTCCAAGCAATGAGCTGCAATGATAAATTCTGTTCTTTTTTCCAACTGTAACCATGTCCTTACAGTATAAGAAAGCATTAAAAAAAAAGCCAAAAAATAGCATCTGATGAGACTCAGCTTTTCAATGCCAAGACACTCACTGTTAACCAACTGCAATGTGATTTTCTTCTCAAAATCGTTAGCAATGAGAGCTCCAGAACACTGGATGCAGTAAAGACCCACCGAGACAGTGAAATATAATCCATTTGTAGCATGCTGCAAACATGGGAACTGTTATAAATGTTTTTAAACGTTGGGTGGGCCAGTCTTGGAAACAGCACCAAACCCAAACCCAGCAAGGAAATTCCTCATTCTCCCAGAGTCAGCAGAAGTTGTCACAGATGTGTCAGAAGCTATAACGTCTCCTGGAGTCTTCAGAGCAGCCATTTAAGAAGCCAAGAGCCATTAGAAAAGCCAGCCACAGGAGCTTACTAAACCCAAACATCCTCCTGGCCATATTCTGTACCACCACCATGGGAGATGTGAAAGAACAAGCACATCCCATGATAACCAGAACCTCAGCTGGGCCACAGGGTTTCATGATAAAATCCATGCCCTTTTTACAGGCATTAACAGGCAGCTTGATCTATCAACTCTTACATGTAAGAAAAGGCTTTGTGGGACAGCTGTGCCTGGGTGGTGTTCACCTTCCCACTGAGGGACCTACGCAGTCACACCAGAAGGTGGTGCAGCAACAGGGAGCCTACATCTTAACCTAGTTTCCTAACTGTCACCTCCCCTTGAGATGCTGAGTGCTTCCTAATGCACTCAGAAACCTCCTGTCTGCAGGCAGCAGAAATTCCCAAGTGGCTGGATATTGGACAGCCCCTTGTGCTGCTCTGACAAGTGGGACAGCCACAAACACCACCACGTGTAGATTAGGACCTGAATCTCCAGACTAGGACCTGAATCTCCAGACTTGTTCTTTCTCTGACGCTGATTTCCTCTCTATAGCCCCCACGCTCCCCAGCAGAGGCAGAATGAGCTGGAACAAAGCCATGGAGCTGTTGCACTTGTTTCCCATGAAGAGGTTTTTCTCTGCATGTTTGGGAAAGTATCATATGGTCTAGAAGCTGAAGTCAAGTTACTGGGAATCAGCTGCTGCCCACTCTGAGAGAAGTGTCTATTAGCATAACAGAATTCACATCCCTTCTTTATTATGTCTCATTTCTTAAAGAAAGCTTAACACCAAGCTGCTGCCCATGCAAAAAAGCCTGGATGAGAGAAATCCCTGCCCTCCCTCAGCAACACAGTTAAAAGGGCTTGCACCTCAACAATAAGACTTTCACTCTTCCTGAAGTTCTGGACCATCTTTCTCAGAATATTAAGAAAAATAGGAACACACAACTGTTCATTCTTACCATATAATTTACAAGGATTCATAAGATACATTTATGGAGCAGCATATACTGATTTTTTGACACCAAACTCATTAAGCACTTGTAAGGGAAACGCTGGTTTCTGGAGGAGAGCTATTTCTGCTGTCTGTCTGGAGCAGACTTGCTGCAGCCCTGTGGAAGGAGAGAGCCAGCCCTTGTTTGGAAAGCAAACTTCATGGAAACAATGTGTAAGTTTCTCAAAACCCCCCACATAGTTAAGTACACAAAAGTGAGAGTCCCACCCAGAGCACAACAGGCACAGCTGCTTTGAGAAAATAAATAGGAAACCACATGAAAACATAAAAGAAGCTAAGTATTAACTGGGTGTAGAAGCTGAAGTTCTGTCTCCTTGATCAAGGAAACATCATGCCCCCAAAAGAAACAGAGCTGAATCTCCCCTGACAGATGCTGGCTGCTAGCAGGGCATGCAAAGAAGGGTCCTCCACAAAGCAGCCCAAGAGTTTTTTCACCAAATAATGAAAAAGGTTTTGGGAAGGGAACCAGTACTGCTTATGGAAACAGCCTTCACTGCATTGTGAAGAAAACTGCCAACCCTCCAGTCTTGAGGTCACAAGGTAGAATTACTGATACCTTCTTTTATCCCATTACTGTCATGCACAGGAAAAATAAATATTCAGTTGCTTTCCAGAACAGTAACTCTTCCTTTTCTTTGGCTTTCTGCTGGGCATCAATCCTGCAGTTGCATTTGCCTTTCCCCTTGATAAAGAATGACACAGCAAGCATGACTGATGGGCATAACAGGAACCAAAATTACTGGGTGATGAAGGAATTCAGGATTAGCTCCACACAGCATTAGCTGTTATTTTGTAGGCTTTCTGATAAACTACCTGGATAACTACAAGAAGAAACACAAGCTCTGATGTGTGACAAAACTATGGCAAATAGAAGTAGTTAGTGCTGTAAATATCAGCCACAGGGCCCAATGTGTACATCCAACTGAAATTTAGTTGTGTGCATCCACCACAATGAGACTCCCATATTCTTGCAAATGCATCTTGTAGGGTGCAAATAAGCTCATCTAGGTCACACTCAGACTGTGTAGTCTTGCAGCCTAGTCAAAAAAAGATTCTCTAAAAGTTCTTTTAGCCCCCAGTAAATTTTGTACTCTCTGAAAATAGAAGAAGATTCTCTCTCCTTACTGGTAAGTGAAAGACAGACATGAGCAAGAAACACAAATTCATGTCTCTCTAGTTGGTGAACTTCCTATAAAAAGAAAATGTCTTCCTCAAATTTCTTTCAGTCACCAGAATCATTAGCATTTTTGTATGCAAGTAAGAGGGAAAAAGTCCAAAGTAGTCCAAAGTGTTATTTCAGAGAGTGCCCTCTGCATTTCCCATATGTTTCCTTTAAAAAAAACAAATCCCCTTGAAGCACTGAACCTTCACAGCATAGCTTGCCTGAGCTGCCAAGTCTGTCACTCCCTCCTCACTGAATTATTTCCTTGCACACCTAATCCTAGGTGTTGGTGCTGTGAGACCTGCAGCTCCAGCCCCCCCCCAGAACCCCCCAGGTTCCTGACAGGAAATCACTGGGCTTTGCTGCCCATGCTGCCCACAGCACCCACCCAACACCATCAGCCCAGTGCCCTCGTAAAGAAAATCTGCTGGGGGCAGGCAGCAAAACGTGGACCACTGGAAAAGCCTCAAGAACTGAAAGTTCATGTAAAACAACAGACCAAAACGAGGGACAGAGAAATATTGGATTCAACTTATGACATAGACCTGTAGCTTATCTATAGTGATGGCAGCACCCTTCAGAGGGATGGGAGAAGGTGAGGGAAGCACACAAGGCTCAGAGGAAAATGAGGCAGAAGCAGCAGCAAAGGAGAGCTCGCCATGGGAAATGGCAACTGAACCTGAAGAGTGACAGGGGATTGTTTCTTAAGGGGAATGTGAGGAAAACAGACAAGGCAGCTCTGCTGGGACTAGGAAAGAAATGAAAGGAGTGAGGAAAAAAAAAGTAAGACCAGACAAAACCCAACTCTCTGCAAGAAATCCCCTGGCTGAAGCACCAACTTCTGTTTGTTTAAAAGGGATATTCTCTCCTTTACAAGCTCCTTGGCCTGTGCTCTTCCTTTGCAATGCAGAGGCTGCTGCCCTCGCTGAGCCCAGTGCTGGAGGCTGCTCAGGGAGCTGTGCAGCAGAACAAAAGCTCCAGCCTGGCTCAGGGCACTTCTTCTGCTGAGCCCAGCAAAGGCCGCTTGGTCTGGCCGCCAGCAGGCATCAAGGAGAAACAAGGTGATGTGGGAAGCTGAGGAAGAGAGAAACTCTTACACCTACTTTCTCCACACTGAAACTCTAATTTTCCCTGGTTTCTGAAAGATTAAAGCACTGAAACGCCTCTGTGAGGAAGTCAGTTACTTTTCTGGCACTGAAAATGTTGGTAAGGAGTGAAGAATGGGCAAACTTTAAGCTTCAGAAGTCCCTAAAGGTTTGAAATATATGAGATGTCCCATTTCAAAGTGTTTTCAATTTGATTTCCAAAAGGTTGCTGAAGCTTCCAGTGACCTCAGTGACAGCCAGGATTAGTCAGCACTGCTGAAAATAGGCTCCCCATTGCCTTGACACCCACAAACAGAAATACCTGTGAAATAAGAAGCCCTGAAAACCTTTGCACTTAAAGGGAATTAGAGCAGGAAAGCCAGACCTGGTTTTGCTCTACCTCTGCAAAGCCCAGAGAGTCTGTCGGGTGTTACATCTATATGAACACAGAAACCTTTTGACAGATGCTATGCTCTTTCTCTAGATATCAGTATTTTGAGAGCTCAAAAAGGTTTTGTGAGGTTTGATTACTTAGCACTGACATGGCAGCTGAAGGTGACAGCTCTACAAACTTGTGACTGTTCCCTGAAATGCTTGTTTACAGACTGGAACTGAAGCATTGTTTGCAGACTGTAATCAAGGAAAAGACTCAAATGTTTATTGTCAGCAACAAATTCTGAAACAATAAAATGAGCCCTATTTCCTTCATGAAGGATGCTAGGAAATTCAAAGCCAAAAAGATGTAAAGAGAATGCTTAAAGCCAGGCTGCCATTCACTGCAACTTGTCAAGTTTCCTGGTACTTGTGGTGCTTGTAGATACTTAGGGAATATGAACCACAGAAAGTCTGCTCTTGTAATACTTATCCCAGGCTCCAAATCTGAGCAGGGAGACCAGCCACTGAACGTCTGCAAACGGGGCCAGTAAATGTTAAACGAGTCCAACACTTGGGGTGAAACACGTCGAGTGCCTCCAAGTGGAAGTACCCAAAAAAAATAGGCATTTTTGAAAAGTAACAATAGGCATTTTTGAAAAGTGAGGCCACGCAGCATTCAGGAGGTTACAACCCCCCACTCTGATGTCCTCTGCCCCACTTAACACCCCGGCAAGGAAAGACAAGAGCATGGGGAAAGCGGCACTGCCTGGGACCCAGCAATACCTGTGTCACAACAGCTTCTCCCTCTGTCACATCCACTCCTTTCTCTGTTTCCTGGCTGCGTGCTGCAATATCTGCTCACAGCTGAGCACCTGGGACGTGCCCCTTTCTGCAGGGACAGAAAGGACACCAGAAACCAACCTGGGCTGAGCGGGTAGATCTCATTGTCGGCCCCGAAGAAGAGGTTGCGCGTCAGCTTGCGAGGGTCGACCTTCTGAGGGGTGGAGGAGGCTGGGCAGAGGGAGAACCTGCGGCGAAGGAAGTTCTCCTCCTTCATGGCATGGGCTGTGGGGGTTTTCTGAAAAGGAAAGATAGAAATAACAGCTCACTTCAAGACACAGGAAATCAAAGTTTCACACCCAGATGACTCCGCCGCTTCAAAGCTGCCAATTTAATCCTATGCATTGTGCCAGATCTTTTACAGGGTGCCAGAAGGCTATGCAGGGGGAAAAAAAGAAAAAAAAAAAGAAAGTGATATTAGTTTGAAGCTACAGTTACCAATTTGCTGACTCTCAGTATTTGCAGGCTGCAGGGAACACTGCTCCTTTGGTGAATCCAGGCAGTATAACAGCCTCCTGCCTAAAAGGATCTATCTGGGATAATAGCTACTTATTGGGTCTGTCTATCCAGTGTACAGTGGCCAAAACACACCCTTTTTTTTAAGGTCTTGGAATCTGTTTCATAAATGGAACTCTACTGGTGTCAGCAGAGTTACAGCATCTCCACAGAAACCAACACTCAGTCTGAGCTGCAGAGAGGCAGAGCAGCTGCAGGGGCTGCAGGGAGCAGCAGTGTCCATCCTGCCCTTATTTCCAGTTACAGCACACACAAATAATTTCAGTTTTCTTTCAAATGGCATTTAGATCAGCCTTGCAGGTTGATCACAAGCTTAACCTTGCTGCTCTGTGAGGGTAAAGAACAGCACTTGTCTCCCCAAAAGCCTCCTGCATCCCCGTGCAAGAGCCTGGTGGTACTGTGCTCTTTACCACCACTTGGCTAATGCATTAGACCATCCTGGCTGGAATTAAAGGTTTCTTTTATACCCACCCAACAAGCAGTTCTTTCTTACCCATTACAAACAGACACTATGACTGCCTCCTTCCTGAGTTCCAAGCTTTACTCTCTGCCCATGAGCAGCCAGAGGCAGGGCTCCCACTAGCAGTAGGAAGCATCACCCCAGCCTTTGGGTGGGCATTAGACACCATGGGGGCTGCTGCTTCTCCAGGGCCAGCTACTGCCTTTCAGACAAACCCTCACAGATGGCACAGGTTTCCTGAAAAGAGCCTCATAGAATCCTTTAGGTTGGAAGGGACCTTCAAGATCATCAAGTCCAACCATTGAGCCATTAGGTCTCTAAAATCCTCTGCTAAAACAGATCAGAATCTGTCAGGGTTGGAAGGGACCACAAGGATCCCCCAGTTCCAACCCCTCTGCCATGAGCAGGGACACCTCCCACTAGATCAGGCTGCCCAGAGCCTCATCCAGCCTGGCCTCCATGTTTTCCCATTTCTTTTAGGCTACTGGGAAAGCAAAGGGGGGAAAAAAGTTGCCCAGAGTTACCAAAACCACTTTGAGCAGCAGGTCTTTCTGAAACCAGCTCACCATGCTGGGAAGGGGAGGGTCTGTAACACCCAGAAAGGGGCTAATGGCTAGCAGCTGGGGCTAGCCCAAAAAAGGGACTCCCCCAGGCCACACTGGCTGCAGTTTGAAGGGGATGCACATGCCCTGCTGGGTCTGCATCATCCATGGAGGATGAATTAACTTGACACAGCTCATTGTGAGAGGTGAGGACAGCAGGCATGAGACAGGGTGGCCCACATGCTGGCCCCTCGTGCAGCACCTCCCATGAAGCTGCATTTCAAGACATGACATGATGACAGCTGGGTGACATGAGGTGGCTGCTGTGCTTTCCACTCGCTGTCACCCTGGGAACACTGGTCTGGGCTCAAAAAGTCCCCAGGATCCCACTGTGGCCAACGGCACCTCTGAAGCATAGGTACTCTTGCTGGCATACCACTGGCTGGGGAGAAGGTGCAGAATTAAAGCTAATTTTTTTTTAAAAAGAAAAGAGAGTGAGGAGGAAAATGCAGCTATTTCTGTGTCTGAAAGCATAATATTTAAAAATAATCCAGGTCTAAATAGCTGGGTTTGGAATGCTAACACTGAGCTATTTTCTGCTCCTGTTCCCAGAAAGGCCACCTCAGCTCTCGCCTCGGGAGCTGCTCCCAAAGCAGGACAGCAGATCCATGGGTTGCCCTGCCCACAAAGCAGTGACCTGGAGAGGCTGAGCTGAGCGTGTGGGAAGGTGTGCAGCAATCCCAGGTCCACCCAGTGGAGAGCAAGCTGGGGAACAAGTTCCAAATAGGAAACAAGCATCCACGCAGCTCTTACAGCCTGCTCTCCTTGTGGAGACTCTTCTTGAGACGGCAACCAGAAAGCAAAAGGCTGCGCTCAGCATCGTTCTGCCTCGGCAAGAGCACGAGCCACTGATGCAGAGGAGAGCCAGGCAGCTCCCCCTGGCCTCGGTGGCAGAGCCCCTGCAGGCAGTGGAGTGAGGGCAGGCTGGGTGCCGGGTGGGATGAGCCAGAGCACAGCAACACAGCTCCTTCCAGCTGCTGCTGTACCCACTGCGCAGGGAGACCAGCGCCCTGATGTCTCCTCAACCACGGCTTAATTGGCTCTCATCTCTGTTGGACCACAAAGATCAATCTGAGTAAGGTTCTCTTCGCTGGGTCCTTTTTGGCAGACCTCCAGTGACTGAAGCCCCCCGAGAAGTGGCAGCAGGGATGTGTCAATCTGTCTGGCAGTCACACGCTCACAGCCATGCACATTCTGCGTCACCCCCGTCCCACCTGCTTTTCCAGGATCATCCTGCCTGCTTTTCCAAAATCATCTAACATCTCACTGCTCCAGCTCATGGGCACAGATCCTCCCTACACCCAACCCTCACCCAGACAGGCTCTTCTGCCATCACATTTTCAGGGGCTTCACTCCAACTAGAAGGTGACAGCAGCAGAGCCTCTCGTTCAGTATGCTGTATGGCATGTGCACTGTTCAACTTTTTCATTATTTTGGGTAAAAGAGAAGAATTGTTGGCCTGCAGTCCACTCCCTGAGATTGGACCATCGTAGATTAACATGCCTGTTTTTCAGAGAAAGGCTGAGATGGACAGACGCAGCCTAAAAGATTTTACCTCATTATGCAGTGCAAAGTGCAGCACAAAATCAAAGAAAGGGACTATTTTTTTTTTATATTTTGGGTTTAATACATCAGACACTTTTTTCCTTGGTGGGAGAAAATGTAGTTCACATTATTGAGATCCTATAACACACCTGAAGTATTTATCTCCAATTCCAACATATCTCTGTGTGTGTCTGTATCTATCTATCCTGCTTTATCCTCCCTCCCAATGGTTTTTGTATCATTGGCAAAAGCCAAGGAAATCTGACAGGCATTAGAAAACTTGAAAATCTTAGCTTCTTAAAAGTTATGTGAAAATCAATGGCTAAGGAAAGGAGAGAAACTGCATCATTGTCCTCTGAAAGAGGGGCAGTACTATGAACCCAGCTATTGCCAAACCACAGCAAACCCAGCACAAGCCCCAAATCTGTAACAAAATGAGGCTTTTTTAGCTCACTTACTCAGAGACCTACTTGTTATCTCTGTCCACAAGGGTCTACCTGCTGGGAAACGCTCATGAGAGTTGTAGGGGATGCTGAACAATAGATGCCAGGGGCAATTTTCCAAAGGGATGTAACAGGAAGGTGCAAGGTGTGACCAGTGTTGTTCACAACAGGGCTCTTCAGACACCTGAATAATCCAGCCTCTGCCCAGATTCTGTGTGAGATAGGAGGGTGTGAACAGTTCCAAGAATATAGCCTTGTACAAAATCTATTTTTATACCATAAATGTGTGATTATCTAGAAAACATACCAAAAAATCACTGTTGATAAAGTATCTGATAAGAAATATGCACCCACAGAAGATACGCTTCTAGTGCTTTTGAGCCTCAAATCTTTTCATGGCTGGTTTGAAGACAAAATTGTTGTTCGTAAACCCAAATCTATTTCTATATCAGTGTTTTGGAGGTCGCTTCAGGATATGGCAGATGCTTCACAGAAACCAGTTCTGCGGGGGCTCAGGGAATAGAGAGAAGGTAGAAATCAAAACTAGGCCAGAATCGGAGAAGTTCAAAAATTGCCGTTATGTTACCAAAATACTTTGGTGACACAAGGCAACAAATTTCACCCACTGCTCTTGCATTCCCTCCAAAGCTGGCAGATGAGATGGAGACGTGTCCTAGAAAGACATCATGTCTTGATTTGAAGATGCCAACTGATGCAGAATAGTGAACCTCACCGTGAAAAACCTTCACTCTTTGCATAAATTTATTTTGTTGCTAGTCTTGGTAGATGAAAGCACTCTGAGTTTGCAGCTCAGGTAATTTCTGACCTCCTATTCCATGCTCTTGATCATAAAAATGAAGGAAAGGTAATACAGAGAGTATTGACAGAGCCACTAAACACAGTATTTTTCAAGAGTGCCCCTTCTGCGTTGACAGCTCTCTAGGTAGTAATGGGCTATTAAACGTGGGCTGCTCGCTGGAGCTTAAATAGGAATAAATCATTCAGCAGCAAGAAATAAACTTCTTGCTAACCCTGACTTTGAGACCACTTTATCTTTTAAAAATGAAAAATAAAGTGGATGAAAAGCCTGTGTCAAACCCCCATGAAACACGGGACATGGGAAGCGGTGAACTTACCAGGGTGTGAGTGCCCCGAAGGACCTTCACCCCACGGTGGCTTCAGGGGCAGCCAACGGAAGAGCAGCGGGGCAAGAATTCAGAGTTATGTCATCTGCAAACCTCGTGGCTGCCATTAAAGCAAACGGGGACTGCCAGCACTCTCCTCTTCTGGCCCCAGACCCATTTTGGGTGAAGGCAGCAACTTAACCCGCGCACAGATGGGCAGTGTTGGTGCAGAGCTGCCTTTCAGATGTTTGCTCGGTGTTTTGGGCTTTTGGGGCTTGCTGGGACAACAGCAGCAGGACTTAACCCGCGCACAGATGGGCAGCGTTGGTGCAGAGATGCCTTTCAGATGTTTGCTCTGTGTTTTGGGCCTTTGGGGCTTGCTGGGACAACAGCAGCAGCTTTCAGCATCAGGCTCGAGGCTTTGGGGGATGGAATTTTCCTAGCTCCATCTTTAAATTTTCTAAGTTGTTGATATATAATTACCAGCCAGCTAACTGCTGTGTGGACATTACATCTCCCCTACCCTCTGCAAACTGGTGGGTACGTTG